CAATTACACGTGATAATATCTAATTATACATAAGATAATGTATAAAATAATCTTATTTGTGAATATCCTTAATACGCCCCCGCAAGATGGAGGAGCCATCGGATACTCCAATCTTGGAACGATTGTGAAGAAACGGAGCTCGGGATAGAGGTTTGGTGAGCATATCTGCAAGCTGGTCGTGGGAGTGAACATGATGAACTTTGAGAAGACCCGTGGAGACTTGTTCACGAACAAAATGATAGTCTAGAGCTACATGCTTCATACGCGAGTGATAGACAGGATTCGCACAGACATAAGTGGCACCTGTATTGTCACAAAAGAGAGTAGGCGGGTGGGTGATAGATATACCGAGTTCGAGTAGCAAGTTCTTGAGCCATGCTAGTTCAGCCGAAGCATTTGCCAGTGCCTTATATTCTGCTTCAGTGGAGGATCTGGAGACTGACTTTTGCCTTGTAGACTTCCAAGAAACAATGTTAGAACCAAGATAAATTAAATAAGCGGTTGTGGATCTACCTGCATCATTAACACCCCCCCAATCGGAATCTGAAAAAGCCGTGAGTGTGAGAGGAGAGATACGATTGAGAAACAAACCATAGTGAATGGTACCCTTAAGATAACGAAGAAGACGTTTTAGAGCTTGCCAATGAGACTGGCGAGGAGCATGCATGAATTGAGAAAGTTTATTGATAGCATAGGAGATATCCGGACGAGTGAAAGCTAGGTATTGAAGTGAGCCTACAAGTTTGCGATAGGGTGTGGCATCTATAGTAGGAGTAGAGTCAATAGCTGATAGGGGTTCAGAGGTGCTTAGAGGGGTGGATACTTCCTTTGCACCGTCCATATGAAACTGAGTGAGAACATCTTGAATGTGGCGATGTTGAGACAGAAACAGACCAGAGGGGGTGGGAATGACTTCAACACCAAGAAAATGATGAAGCATTCCAAGATCTTTCAAGGAAAATTTGTTGCTGAGAGCGGAAATGAATTGAGAGAGAAAGGACGAATTGTTTCCTGTGAGCACTATATCATCTACATAGACTAGAAAATAGCTAATAATGTGATTGGTATTGTAGATGAATAGAGAAGGATCTGCCAGCGACTTCTTGAAGCCACAGTGAGTGAGGAAATTGGTGAGTTCAGTGTACCATGCCCGAGGAGCTTGTTTGAGGCCATAAATGGACTTCTTGAGTTTACAAAGGTGATTGGGGAATTGTGGGTGAGTATAGCCCGGAGGTTGTACCATGTAAACTTCTTCATGAAGGGTGCCTTGGAGAAAGGCATTATTGACATCCAGTTGTCTAAGAGGCCAATTATTGGAAAGAGCAATAGAGAGAACAGTTCGAATAGTAACCGGTTTTGTGACTGGACTGAAAGTATCAAAGTAATCTTTCCCATACTGTTGATGAAAGCCTTTAGCAACTAAGCGAGCTTTGTATTTATCAATTGTGCCATCAGGTTTACGTTTGATTCGAAAGACCCATTTACAACCAATGGGTTTATGAGATGCCGGAGGAACGAGTTCCCAAGTTTGATTGTGTATGAGTGCATTAAACTCAGCTTCCATGGCATGACGCCATTGGGTATCCTTGCTGGCTTGAAGGTGGGTGGTAGGTTCAATAGTGGGTGGTATCGGATGAAGAGTGGTGGTGTTAACAAGGTTTTCGTTATAATATTTTGGGTTGCGGGTGCGATTTCTAGGAGGAGGGTATGGGCTGGAACGAGTATTGTCAGTAGCATTTGGGATGATGGAGGGTCTGGGTGGATCTGGTGTGTGTGTGGAGCTGGGCGAAGGAGGATTGTGATGTGGGTTGTTGAAAGGAGATGTTAGAGGGGCTGTAGTTGAGTGATTTATTGGTGAAGTGGGAGTAGTGGGTGCTGAAGTTGAATCAACAAGGGGATCAGCTGTTGGAGTGGGCTGCGAAACAGTAGGGATAAGGTTTTGGAGGACTGGTACAACACAAGGGGATGAGGCAGGAGCAGTAGTAGTTGGCTCGGTTGATAGGAAGTCATTTGGAGTGGGAAGTGGGCTGGTATCATTAGAGATAGAAGCATAGGGAAAGGTGTGTTCAATGAATTGAACATGTCTTGAGTGATAGAGTTTGTGGGATATAGGGTCATAGCATTTGTATGCTGATTTGGATGCTGAATATCCAAGAAAAATACATTTGGCGGAACGAGGGTGGAGTTTGGTGACTGCATATGGCCGAAGCCAAGGGAAACAGAGACAACCAAAGGGTTTAAGATTGGTATATGCAGGTGGGGAATTATAAAGCTTTTGGTAGGGGGAGATATTGTCAAGAATGGATGTGGGTAATCGATTAATTAGATGAACAGCCGTTTGAAAGGCATGAGACCAAAAAGTGAGAGGAAGGTGGGCATGGTGAAGGAGAGAGAGACCGCTTTCTACAATGTGTCGATGTCGTCTTTCTGCAACTCCATTTTGTTCAGGTGTGTGTGGGGGTGTTGTGAAGTGGGAGATACCATTTTCTTGTAGGTATCGAGTGAGAGCAAGATACTCACCACCATTGTCTGTAAACAGAGAGATAAGAGGGGTTTTATGGTATTTTTCAGCCAGGGTTCTGAATTGAGGAAATAATATGGAGACATCAGATTTTTTCTTCATTGGATAAAGCCAGGTATACTTGGAGAAAAAATCAACAAAGATGACATAGTAAAGAAAGCCATCATTGGATGGTTTGACTGGTCCCCATACATCAGAGTAGACAAGTTCAAGAGGTTTAGAGGCAACAAAGGAATTGCTACCAAATGGTAATTTATGACTTTTATTAATGGAGCATGCATTACAATGAAAGTTATTGAAATACATTGAACTTGACTCTAAATGTAATTGCCTAAAGAGAGACTTGAGAACTTTGATAGACGGGTGACCCAGCTTGTGATGCCAGGAGTGAAGAGAACTGGTTGAAGTGGTGATAGTGTTTAGTTGAGGTAGTTGACGAAGAGACTGAATGGCTGCGTAATAGATGTCATTAATGTTCACCCCCCGCATTAGACACGCCCCCGTGTGAAGATCCTTGACAGCAAAATAATGTGGAAAGAATTCAACAGAGACACGGTTAGATTTACACAGTTTGGCAACAGAAACGAGATTATTACGCAATTTTGGAACACAAAAAACATTATGCAGATGTAACGATTTTGAGGAAGTGGGAAGTATAGTATGACCAGTGTGAGAGATTGGAAGACTCATACCATTTCCTAACACAATTTCATCGGGTCCTTCATATTCCGAGAGGGTGTGGAATGAAGCCGGATTTGAAGCCACATGATGAGAAGCTCCTGTGTCAAACATCCATGGTGGGTTGGAAGATGTGGGTCCAGCTGCAGTGGTGTGAACAGAAGGCGATGGTGCTGTCAATGAGATGGAGATATTGTTGTCTTTCAAGAATCGAGCAAGTTTCCTGCAGTCTTTAGTGTCGTGACCTGGAATATGACAAAATTGACAAAAGACAGAGGGTCGATTACCATTTTGAGTGAAATTGTTGGCATTTGTTGACCCAGGGAATCGATTTTGGCGAGAACCAAAATTGTTGAAGCGATTAAATTTGTTGGAGCTTTTGTTGTCTGTCGATTGCCTGGAATTAGGGCGAGAGAATTGTTTCTGAGTATTGTTCACAGTAACAATTGTCGGTGTCGATTGATTGTCTTTGAGGGTTCTTTCATGGTCTACGAGCTTATCAAAGAGATCAGGGAAGGTGATAGTTGTGTCTCTTATTTTGAGGGCAGCAGCTATGTGAGTGTAGTCTTCACCTAATTGACTCAGAATGTGCACAATGAGGTCCTCCTCATCGATTGGACTCTGTGCTAGGGCTAGTTCGTCGGCAATGCTCTTCATCTCAGTGAGGAAATCCGCAATTGGGCGAGACCCCTTAGGATTGTTCGCTAACCTGGACTTAAGGGAGATTATTCTGGATCGAGAGACACTTGCGTAACTGTCATTGAGGCGCTTGAAGACTTGTCTTGAAGTGTCGGCAGAGGAAACAATTGGTTGGATAGTTTCAGAACAACTGCCGAGTAGAGCACCTAACAAGATCTGGTCTTGTCGATACCATGGGCGGTATTCCGGATTGGGTTTTGTAGCGTCAGTAGAAAGAGTCTTGGATGGGGCTTCTTGTGACCCATCAATGAAATGATCAAGGCCTAAGCCAATTAGGGTAGACATAACCTGCTTTCGCCATACAGGAAAATTAGTGGCTGTTAATTTGATTGGAAAGTGAGATTGAGCTGTGACTTCGATGATAGCCATTAGCGACTGATAAGGTATTGGGAATTTTGGATCTAGAATAGCTCAGAGGAGCAAGATGGGTTCTGAATCTATTCATTAATACGATTGCCTTATATAGGCTGAATACAAAGGTTTGAGTGTTCCATATTTACAGGAGAATAAGTAGCAGCTAGACTAGGTAATTTGACTATACAATTGACTATACAATTACACGTGATAATATCTAATTATACATAAGATAATGTATAAAATAATCTTATTTGTGAATATCCTTAATAAATTAGTCATATTCCCTTTGAAAAAAATGCATTTATAAAATTAATGTTTGCGTTGAAACAACAAATAAGTTTCAAATTTGAAAAAAATAAAACGAAATCATAATTTCAAATAAAAAAAAATTAAAAACTTAATATTTTTATTTTTTATATTTTGACACTTCATGTAGAAGTATCACTCCCACATCAATACATAAAAAAACACATCAATATCGGATAACCAAGAAGACCATGATTACATAAAAATGGTACATAATGTTGTGCAAATTTTCTATTCTTATAATAGAATAAATTTCTATAAAGCTATAATCACATACAAGTTTTATAATCTAAATTTCATAAAAAGTTTGTCAGTAATAAAATTCAATCAAATTAAGAACACAAATAAATGTTAAATGTAACAATAATTCTCTTCTCATTTATTGATCGATCAATCTCTGCTTCACCTCTCTCTAATCATCGTATTTAAAGTCTAAAAACCTCAAACCACTACTAGAAACAAATTAAAATAAATTGCATTTTCAACCATTCGAGTTGTACTACAAAATACCGCAGTACAAACTAAAAACTCATACTAACAAAATAAATACCATCGTCCTTCACTCTACTCTCTGCAATAAAAATTAAAAACTCAATCTCGAAGGGTATAAAATGCAATTTCACCAAAAAAAAAAACATCTTTTTCAGACTGGATTACATCTATCCTCGTCGGTGGTCGGCGTTTATCGGTCATCGACAGGTGACGGAGGAGACGGAAAGATGATAGGCGAAAGTGTTAGAATACTGAAACATCACCGTCCGGCCGGAAACAAGTGGCTTTCCGTCGTTCACAAGGCAGTCATCGTAGCGGAGGCGTTTGAAAAGGCGGGGGTTGACCAGCCGTGCAGAGCTGAACCAGCCGCAGGAGAGGTGGACGTCGGAGATGGAACAGCCGGTGGCGCAGATGTTCATGATCTCCACCGAGTAGATCGGAATGCCATGAGCAAGAGGAGAAGTGGGCCCCTGGTTAATGACAATGTCGGATTTCGAGCATTTGTCCCCCCAATTTCGCTCTGGTAGCACTTCACCGGTTTCTGAAGAATTTGCTGCAAAAAGTGAACACAGAAAATAAAAACGAGATAATCGTGCAAAAGGACCACTAGAAGGAAACATACGTGCACCCACCACCAACAATGGCCACCGTACGCTAATCGGAACGGGAATTTTAATTCATATTTATTCGACAGACAAGGGATTCCGATTCAGATTCCGATGGACACATGAGAGAGACATGAGAGATTTATTTATGGAGGTGAAAAGGTTAAAAATTATTTACCTAGAAGCTTTCGATGGGGACCAGAAATAGTACTGTTCATGTGTTCCACGATAAGATCGCCATGTTGCGTTACGCCTTAACAGAATAAACAAAAGTGAAATGATCAGTGAATGAAGGAGAAATAATGGAGGATTTTTGTTTGTTAAGGATATGAACTGTTCATCAAATGAATAACAGAATAATTTCAAAATGTAAGGATATCAATGGAGTCATTGTATGAATCTGTAACGAACCTGTAACGAAGGCAATCATTATTACGACGAGTAGTGACACTGCAAATGTCGCAGTCACCAATGCGATTTTCTGCCTTGACGATAAGTTTGTCTTCATTTTAACTACCTAGAACGGATATCAAGGTCAACGAGAATGCGTACAAGTTTTTCACGAAGGAAACTGGAGCTAAAATCCGGTGGTTGTTCGAGAAGAATCTGATAAATATGAAGTTGTGAGATCGATTTTGAATCGGTTACACTCGGAGGATCATGGAGTTTACTGTAGCTATCATCATCGATCTACAAACGTGAGTCCAGAAATCTGAAGGATTAGATGGGAATCGAGAGCCAATCTTTGACTGTATTGACGGATTCAGAAGCGATGGAGATTGAACTGCATAAAATATATAATATTCAGTAAGGTGTGAGAGGATAGCATAAACATCAAATCAATTGAAATCCAAATAATAAGTTAAAACCGCCGAATCTTACACCACAACTGGCTGTGGTTTGACTAAAGGGTCTTTTCTTCTGTTTTACCTAATTATTGCAATTGAAAAACGGCTTACTCAACATTCATCTCGATTACAGAACCAAAGCATATCAAAACGGAAAGTTTTCCGACAACAAATTCACTACGATTTCCAGGAAAATCGCCGATCCAGACATTTTTTTGGAACTTATAAACAAATCGTATAAAAAGAACTTTCAAACAAGTACAGATTCCATAAGAGCTCAAGCAATAAAGAAGTTAGCACGAAAGCATTGAGACACATGAACAAATTCACAGATATTTGATATCAGAGACACGAAAATGGCAGTTTAAATCCTCGAAAGCCAACAAAAATGAAGGAAATCAAAAATCGATGGAAATAAGTAATGTAAGAGATTCATCATTCATGATACCTTTGAATCCTCCTCTGACTCTGATACTGTGAAATAATCAGCTCCGATGAGTGTGCATTTACGTTGATGTATATATATGAGTGTAGAGAGAGAAAAAGAGGACTAGGGTTTTGAAGATCACGTATGGTAGTGGACGTGGGTTTTTTCTGAGAAGAAAAGTGGGAGGGAATGATACAGAGGGTTTAAAAACGAGCGCATGGTTTTATACTATTTTATTTGGAAGGTTATTTAATACCTATAATTACGTATAAAAAAATGCTTGACCAAAAAGTCAAAGAACAATTGTTCCTAAATATATCATTAATTAATATAGAATCAAAATATATATCGTCATTAATTAGTATTAGTATTATAAAATAAAAGGGTTATAAACATTGGTTGATACGTATCAAATAAGAAAAGATTGTATTTGTCGTTACTGTTAATGGGTAAATGGTAAGTTTCTTAGGACCATTTCTAAAATGCTAAAATGGAAAACGATTTATTACAAAATAGGAAATATTGTAAATCTTAAAAAAACTATCTATTTCGCCAATTTGCTTAGTGAGATAATTCTATAGTTTTCAGTCAAAAGGGAACAAACAGTGAATGGGGGTAGATATATAATTAGCCTTTATGAATGACTACAAGTATTTTATCTTCTATTTATTTTGTAAAATAACAGTTTTTCTACAAGATGATATCGCAAATAATTAAAAATAATAATAGTAAATATGAGGGAAAAAAAGGTTTTAAGGAGAAATGATGCAAAAATAAAAAAGGAATCATATATTTTATTATAGGAAAAATGAAAAGGTTTTCAATATGAACTATAGTACAAGGATGTTGCATGGGTGTAAAGGGAATTGTAAGGTGATTTACTACGGGTGGCAACGTGCGTTTTAAGAAAGTGATTTTGCAAAACATGTAATTTTTTTGCGAAACCATCGATGTCTAAGTAAACTAGGCGAATGCTCGTGCGTTGCGCAGAAACACATGTATAGTTGAAATCTTTACAAATATATTATTTTTTAAATATAGCAATAACGTCGTTGTTAAATTTGATATAATAATTTGTATATACTAAATTGATATAATATATTGATTATTTTAAATTATATGATAATATATACATTTATTTTAACTTCATAATCTCAATCGCTTGAATGATTTCTACCGACGAGTTACACATGAATACAATTAAATATAATATATGATTTGATGTTATTTATAGTTGTTTTTATTGTTAATTAATTTTTTAAAATTTATTTGCTTAATGTTTTAATTTCTATCATTATAATTATTTAAAACATCAAACATTGTTTTTTTTTTTTTAATTTTAAAACTAACACTATATTCATTTATATAGAGTTGTTTTTAACTATTGTTATTGTATGTTAATTTAAACTACTTATTTGGAAACTTTAACGATTATAAAAATATATTTAAGAAATATTTTAGTTAAATTGAGATTACAATTCACTTTTTTCTTTTATCACTACAATTTATCACTTTTAACTATTTACAAAATATTCTTTAGATTTTTAAATGGAACTGGAATTTATATTTGAGTTGACATTGTCATGCGTAGAAACACCTAGATAGTTGAAGTCTTTACAAATATATATTTTTTTAAAATATAACACTAACGTTGTTGTTAAATTTGATATAATAATTAGTATATTAATTTGATATAATATATTGATTATTTTGAATTATATGATAATATATAAATCTATTATAACGTCATAATCTCAATCGTTTGAATCACTTCTACTCGCGAGTTACACATCAATAAAATTAAATATTATATATGGTTTAATATTATTTATAGTAGTTATTTTAACTAATTTTTTAAAATTTATTTGTTTAATGTTTTAATTTCTATCATTATAATTATTTTAAACATCAAACATTATTTTTAGATTTTAAAGGTAACAATATAATCATTTATATAGAGTTATTTTTAACTATTGTTATTATAAGTTATTTTAAGCTACTTATTTGAAAATTTTTAACGATTATATAAATATATTTAGGAAATATTTTAGTTAAACTGATATTACAATTTAGTTTTTGCATTTATCACTATAACTTATCACTTTTAACTATTTACAAAATATTATTTGGTTTTTTTAATGGAACTGAAAATTATATTTAAGTTGATACTGTAATGTTATATTTAAATTAACAATTTAAGCATTTTGTTCAAACTGTTCAAAGATTATAGCTTTAAACAGATAATGGTTTACATGCAACAACATTTTAAATCTAATAAATTAAGTATAATATGTTAAAATTTAAAGACATAACTTTATAAATAGAAGTAACTGATATTATTTTAAAATTGAAATTTAGTCTATTTATGATTACACTTTAGGTTTGATATTTATTTAACCTTATTAAGCAACTTACAATCATTATTAGAAAGACACTACAATTAATCACTTTTAACTATTTATAAAATAATATTTGGGTTGTTTAAGTTAAATAAAATTTATATTTAAGTTGAGCTTATAATGTTATATTTTAAGTATTTTATACAAATTGTTCAAAAATTATACCTTTAAAATAATAATGGTTTACATCCAACAATATATTAAAACTAATAAATTAACTATAATATGTTAAAAGTTAAAAAGCATAGTTTTACAAGTAGAATTAAAGATATTATTTTAATATTGAAGTTTAGTTTATATATGAATACACTTAGATTTGATATTTATTTAACCTAATTACCAAATTATAATTATTATTATAAAGAAATTGAAAAGTCATGGGAGTTTCAAATGAATGTGGTGAAAGGAAAAAAGAATGGGGGTTTCAAATGCATGAGATTCAACAAAAATGCTAGCTTTATAAGTATGTATGATAAAAAAGATTATTGAAAAATTTTAGTTGTTAACCATCAAATTTTTTGACTTCTTTCACCATTTGATTTATTAGAATAAGACTGCAAAAATAAATTGAAAATGCAATACAAAAATACGAGGATATCATCACATCACTATCTTTAAGGATAATTAGCCTCCAGCCTTCATTATAATCGATGTTTGGTTTAAATCGCTAAGATCCTTCTAGGATCTCCTCGACTTAGAGATTACATACAAGGATTCCTAAAATTCTACTCACAGAAATGGAGATAAGATTTTAGCATAAATGAGATAAATAAGATGTGAGACTCATGTATTATATGAGTTTAATTAAAATAAATAAATATGAAATTTTAATAATTTGAAAATTTTGAATTTATAAGAAAAATAAGAAAAAATTTGAATTATTAAAATTAATGAGACTTTAATGTATTGAATACATTGCATATATAAATCATTTCTAATAAATATTTTACATATATATTACCCTACATATTAAATGTGGAATTTTAATTTAATAAAATGAAAAATACAATAAAATGACAAGTGGAAAATAGAAAATTTTAAAATTTCTAGAAAATGTCATGTATCCAAATGAAGGAGAAGATGACATGTGGTAAAAAAACTTTCATTTATTATAACAGAAGATGAGAGTTATATATATATATATATATATATATATATATATATATATATATATATATATATATATATATATATATATATATATATATAAATATATATATATAGTAAAAATATACTAAAACATGTTATATATTATGAATACTAGGTGTAAGACCCATTGAATTACATGAGTTTATTAAATATGAAATTTTAACAATTCGAAATTTTGAATTTATAAGAAAAATGAGAAAAAAATTGAATTATTAAAATTAATGAGGTTTTAATCTATTGAATAGATTACATATATGAACTCTTTATAATAAATACCTTACATATATATATATATATTACATTACATATTAAATGTGAAATTTTAATTTAATAAAATGAAAAATACAATAAAATGACAAGTGAAAAATACAAATTTAAAAAATTCTAAAAACCGTCATGTGTTCAAATGAAAGAGAAGAGGACACGTGGTAAAAAGTTCTTTATTTATTAGGTATAATTTTTTTTTTTGGTTCAAAAAGAAAAGCAATGGTTTTTTCTTTTCTCATTATTTGCTTTAGTTATTATAAGTATAAAAATGACCATTGTTATTATTATTATTATTATTATTATTATTATATTTATATATATATATATATATATATATATATATATATATATATATATATATATATATATATATATATATATTGTCCAACCTTAGCTACAGGAAAGTTCCTACACATTTGGCAAAAATGGTCCTTTGTCTATAGATGTCGGTTCAACCATGTCTAATTTTTTTCATTGGGTCATTTTATGTCATTACTTATATTGTTGGTGGGTTTGTTTTGCCTCCGCACCGCTTAATTGAGTACGTTTACATATACGTGTTCGCTT